ATATAACTTGCAGTGAAGGCTGTACAGAAAGAGAATGTAATCAAGACGGAAGCTGCAAGTGTAATGATATGTACCATGGCGCACTATGTACTGACAGATGTAGTAGTAACTGTTTGAATGGAGAATGTTACCACTCAGAATCTGGACCAAGTTGTACAGCTGGTTGTATAGATGGTTATAAAGGTAGTTATTGTCAGGATACCTGTCTAGATAACTGTATTACTTGTACTAGATATAATAACCGATGTACAGGCTGTAAGGCGGGATGGTATGGTAACCAATGTCAAACTAAATGTAACAGTAACTGTATCAAGGAATGTGATCAGTCTACAGGACGATGTCAAAGTTGTAAGACAGGATGGTATGCTGACCAATGTCAAACTAAATGTAACAGTAACTGTGTCAACGAATGTGATCAGTCTACAGGACGATGTCAAAGTTGTAAGACAGGATGGTATGATGACCAATGTCAAACTAAATGTAGCAGTAATTGTGTCAACGAATGTGATCAATCTACTGGAAAATGTGTTGATTGTAAAGTAGGCAAATATGGTGATAAATGTAGTGCTGATTGTAGCAGTGGATGTTTATCAATGGGTACTGGTATATATTGCAAGAGAAATGGACATTGTAGATATGGCTGTATTGGTGCTTTATATGGTAGTCATTGTAATAAACGATGTCCTTCAAACTGTGTCAAATGTAACCCACGAACAGGTGATTGTTCCGAATGTAGTTTAACATGGTACGGTAAATATTGTAATCATCAATGTATAGAATGTTATGATGGTATATGTGCTATGAATGGAACATGCATTAATGGATGTATTAATGGTAAATATGGTAATCGCTGTCGATACAACTGTAGTAATTTCTGTAAACAATCAGCAAATGGTATTGGTATATGTGAACAGAAAACAGGAAGATGTAATGAAGGCTGTCGGGCTGGTTACCAAGGTGAAAACTGTACTGAAGGTAGGAAATACTTGTACAACTTTTTGCCATGTTAAAGAAAATTAAAGCCAATAACCAATACAGACTCAAAAACATATAATGAATATTTGAATGGTATATAACAATTCTTTAAATATTATTTTGATTTTTAAAAAAGTATTAACAGATAACAAATTTCACAATGGTGGAAAAACTGTGTTACATGCCGGATGTAAACTAGCTGTATTGGTGTTGATTTAAGTCTGTTAATAATGCTTTAAAAATAGTTCCAATGGAAATGTTGGGATGGAAAAGTGTTGACTTAATAGATGTACTTTTTATGTTTCAAAAAGACCCCTACTGGTGTGTCTGTTTTTAACGTAGGAGAATCTACAATACACAGCACATTTTCTAAAAAAAATATTAATTCTGCAATATCTTCATCTCGTGATGGATACAAGTAGGGAGATATGAAATTTGCATTTTTTTATTTTTTTTATAAGATTTATACCTTTTATAGTAGAATATCTGGTGCAGCCAAATAAAGCCCAACTGGTGTGTTTGTTTTTACATAGGTGAATCTACAATACACAATACATTTTCTGAAAATATTAATTCTGTATTATCTGCTTTTTGCGTTGAATACAAGTTTTTTATATTTTGTAATAATTGTTTATGCGAGAATCTCTGTTGTAGCAATTCCTATTTTGGAGAAGGTTTTGATAAGTTTTAATGTAACAAATCGGTTATGGAACAAAACAATGCTAAATAATCAATCTCGAGAATATAAACAGCTGANACAGGAAATTGAGAAAAACGTGAGTATGATTTGGCTCCTTTATAGTTTATCGGCATTTTTGTCGTTCCTGGTCATTGTTTTCACCCCTCTGAATTACTTGTAGCCAATCTGCGACATGGTTTGTCTGTTATTCTTGATACGATACTGTAGCTGATCATCC